TCACTCAACGTTTCTCAGTACTTTTCATCAGGGCTATTGAGATCCCAAAATGATAGATCTGCCAGCAGTGGCTGAAATCGCAGGAACCAGAGATGTGCCTGGATGCAGCTGCTTTGGAGGCCGAGGGCAGGCCTCCGTGACGTCAAGTATACAGAAAATTGCCCATTAAAAGTACACACGTTAGCGTGGAAATGAGCTTATTGGGAGTCACGCTGGTTGCAAAACACAACGTACTGCAGTATAGTATTCTGATCCCCCCCCCTTTTAATAACCCAGTCTTGACAAAGTCCACCCTCTAGGTCAGGGGTGTCAAACATGCTTCGGACGGTGTTCCCTCTAAACTGTGGAGTCCTGTGAGCAAAGACTCTACTTTGTGAGCTACCGGCATTAAAGTTGTGAGCGAGCAATTTGGCTACTGCATAGTTTGCTCTGGAGCCATCTTTCCTGAGCTTAGAAAAAAATCTGTGAGCTGGAGGCTAAAAAACGGTGAGCTAGCTCACACTGACTCAGCTTAGAGGGAACACGGAGTCTATGGCATTATATCCTGTCGAGGTCCCACCCCTTGCCCAAACCCCACCCTCCCCAGGCTCCACTCCCAAAATCTCCAGGAATTTTCCAACCCGGAGCTGGCAACCCTAATTTTGCATTGCTTTTGCCTCGAAATCTTGTCGTGTCCCGTGAGTCTTTCCTCCAGCAGATCTCGATTTGCGTGCCTATTATATACACACACATCCGCACGCTCTCCTGTGTGTTCAATGCTTCGAGTGAAGCAAGCCCTCGACGAGGACGACACCTTTCTCTACCTGGGCAGCCCTTAAGATGCCACAGGAGCCTTGGGTCACCGTGAAAAGACAAAGACTCCACCCGGAAAGACAAGTCCCCATTCGCTTAAAGGCAACGGCCCTTTAATGGAAACCGTTTACACCCTGCCCTGAACTAGACAGCCCAGGGTAGCCCGATGTCATCAGGTCTCGGAAGCCAAGCAGGGTTGGCCCCGGTTAATACTTGGATGGGAGACCACCAAGCTAGTCCAGGGTTGCTACGCAGAGGCAGGCAAGGGTGTAGTATGAATGGGAATATAAAGATTTTTTTATATAGGTTTTTTTCTTCTTGATTGTTCATATTCATATTTCTCTGGTTTTTATAATTTATTCTTTAAGGAATATTTTATTAGGATGTTAGAAAGGCCTGTTCTATAGAAGGCTTTCCTCTTGTAGGTCTGATATTGTTAGCAGACAACATAATAGGTACAAAGTTCATGATTCTGTAGTTCTTAGGACAAACCTTTCAATGTCTGGGTCAGATAAGATTTTAGTCTCGTATCAGTAA